CTTTTATACTCATTTTTTGGATAAGCTTTGAAAAAAGCAAGAAACGCTGTTATTTTGCTAATTAAATCTTATATTTTTTATACTCCTACTCTTCCTCCTCCTACTATTAAAAACTCGGTACCAATTACAATTCCAACAACAATACTAAAAACAAATTTGTATAAAAGTAAATTCTATTGTCAAAATCTTTGTGTTAGTAAGAAAAAAGATAAAGTAAAATTGTTGTGATTACTACATAGAACCAGATATATTTTTGAAAATGATTGCGTGAAAAATCTTTTTATATGTGAATAAAAAATTTTAATAACTTGCATTAGAAAACAACTCGAATTTTAAAAATATACCAAGAAAAAAAAACGCCAAAAAAAAAAAAAAAATTATTTGAATTCTTATTTCTTGTTTTATGCACCACGTCTATTCTGGACATGGGCGATCGTGGCTTTCACAGCTTTTGAGGAAATCTAGAAAAAGTTGCAGACACCATAGATTGATAGGTAATTAAAAAGTATCATCTAATATAAAGTTGTTTATGTATTCTTTCTTCTTTTTTCGGGTTTTTATATCAAAATTTGTCGCTTTTGGTCGTAAATCTTATCTACTTGATGTTAATATTTTGAAGAGTTTAAATCATTGTAAAAAAAGTATACTAATAAACTATCGTCGACGAGGACGCGAAGAATCCGCATTATTCTAAAAGGTTTTCGATTCCTACCTGCGTCTAAATGTTTTATTTGAACAGCATTAGTTGGTATCACTTAAAGTGAAACAAATAGCTCTCCATTTTATTCTAAGAGAAAACAAGACGGTTGCTTTAATGAGTCAGACCATAGTTTTTAGATTGCGATGACGTCACCGGCCGACTGGTAGGATAGGTGTGTTCGTGTGTGTGTCGGGGAGGGGGATGACGGCTGGTAACACCACTTGGCTTACCTTGCATACAGGTAGGTAAACGCTGGGTGCAGCGTGCAGGTATTCGATACAAGCAGAGCATGTTTTACAGAAAGAATCAATACAACCATATGCTAAGCCATGCTCCGTTCTAGGAAAAAGGTCACAAGGTCATTGTGGGGTGGGGGACCCAGTAAGTGCTGAACTCACTGATTTGCAAAGCTAGGTTGCCAGGTATCGCTCTATGACAAATTACCCCTAAAAATCAACACACCCACACATATAAATGTATGGTGACAATCCCTCTATCGCTCTCTTTCTTTCTTTCTTTCTTTCTTTCTTTCTTTCTTTCTTTATCTATCTATCTATCTATCTATCTATCTATCTATCTATCTATATACGGTATATTTAGATTTTTAAATTCAATCGAAAAAGTCAGTCTGTTTAATTTTTTCATTGGTTTTCCAGACTTCGAAATCGGAGAGCCGAGTTCGAATTCCAGTCGGTTTCTTTATACACACATACGTGCAAATGCCCTTGAGAAAGTTATGAATCACAGTCCTGGGTATGACAATAAACTACATCCGCGTCCTGGATAAGACGACAGACTACATCCGCATCCTGGGTAAGACGATAAACTACACCCAACAGCAAGATCTCTGATCAGGAGGTTTTTGAGGAGCGTGGAACCATCTCTTAATTGCTGGTATTCCCAGGTCCACCCTGACCCGGGGGTGGTAGCAACTGTTAGGGACCCAGCTATGTTATAGTTAACTCCCATTATGAAAGTGTAAAAATAGTTTTATATACCAGAAATATATTTTTGAAAACATAATATTAACAGCAGTAAAAATCTAGTCGACATTAAATAAGCCATCGAGGTTGATATGCCGAAAAACAAACCAAACCAAAGTTATAAATCAACCTTTTCATTCTTCTCATGGGTAAGGATCAGTTAGTAAGACTTGCATCAGTAAATCATTATTACACCCCTAAAATTCTTACAGTCTAAAATTGCATCCCTAAAATTCTTACAATTTAAAACACATGGCTCAGTGGATAAAAGGGTTGGTTGAATCCAGTGACTTGACCCAAAGAGTTGTGAGTTCAATACCTGGTTACAGCTGAGGTAAACAACAAAACTTGTAGAGTTGAGTTAAAAGAAGATAGTGAGACACCCGGAAAAGGCATGGCACGTGGAACGAGAACAATCTACCCCGGTGGACGAAATAAAGGGTTCACTTCGAAATACCAATCAACTGAAGAAGGCCGGAGCGTACAACGGCCGAAACGTTGTGAATATGGCAACAAAGATAAAGACAACAGTTCGAACAATCTAAACAATGTAAATAATTAACACGACATCGGATCTATAACCTTTAAATAAACTCCACAGGGTTGATAAGCCTAGAAAATAGCAATTATCCACATTTCGAATCTTAAAAAAATTAATAAAAAATTTGGAGAAAATATTTTGCTCAGTTTTATACGAGTATTTTTGACGATGCAAAAACTTATTCGAAAACTGGAAAAATGCAAGAAATTAAATAGAGACAATTTGTTGGTTGAATTTAATAAAACAGGGCACAACGAATCATATTCTTTGAGGATAACATCAGCCATGTTGATGGGAGGCGGAGTGGAAGACTCTCAGATGATTAATGAAGAGAAGCTTAGTTTTGGAGGCGCTAAAATTGACAAGACATCTTTTGCCCCAGTTAACAACGGGAATATATATATATATATATATATATATATATATATATATATATATATATATATATATATATATATATTATTTGTTAACCCTTACACCTTTTATTGAAATAATTGCTTCAGCCGTTTCCATAGTAATTAATTTAAATAATGAACATGCTTATAAAGATGCGTAAATTTCAAGATTAGTTATTCCAAAAATTTCGCTTGAGGATGAAACAGAGCTTGATCTTTTAATTTTAATAATTATATTGAAATTTTTGGCCCCTGTTTTTGAAGCATGAGAACTCTTATTTTGCGAATTTTAAAAAATAATTATAACTAGCAGTAGAGCCCGGCGTTGCCTGGGGATGTAACAGTAAGAGATAGATCAAGTATCGACCATCATAAAGACTGAAAAATAAAATTGACAAAGATTATTGTTTAAGGTTGACGGACACGCATGCCTTAATTAGATTTTTTTGTTTTTTTTTACGAATTGGTCAAACCCAAACTCAAACAAAAGCATTGTTTTCAATCGTTATGAGTCTACCGATTGAATAGAATTATAAACAATTGTCTTGTAAATGGAATTTTTAAAGCATTCTGAATGTAAAAATAAAGAAAAAAATGTGCAAGACAATAAGAAACACTACCTGCCCCCCAAAGTGAAGTTTTGTTGAAATCGGTTGAAAAATGTAGGAAATCCGATCCCATATATAAACGAACACACACACACACACACACACACACACACACACACACACACACACACACACACACACACACACACACACAACCTGGGTTTTATAATAAGTATAACTCGATATGAGTTGTCCCCCTTTCATTCTCGCGACAGCGATGCCTCTTAATCGTATTTTCAAATTGATTTTGTGCAAAAACGATTGTTTTTCCAATTTTTACCGCAAGGTAATTTTACGTAGTCCTGTGAAGTTTTGTTGAAATCGGTTAAAAAATGTAGGAAATCCGATCCAATATATAAGCGAACAGACACACACACACACAACCTGGGTTTTATAATAAGTATGATTTAGGCTCTGCTTTTCTATTGAGCACTGTTTTTTTTTTAAATAAAAGCAAAAATACTAAAGAACTTCGGATTATTTACCTAACGTGTTCTTTCCTATTTTTCTATATATTTGCACACACACCCACACACACACACACACACACACACACACACACACACACACACACACACACACGCACACGCACACGCACACACACACACACACGCACACACACACGCGCACACGCACACACACGCACACACACGATCAATTTTGAGTTCTGTAGTTTATTGATGCCAATCGCATCTTCTCTACCCTAGCTATTGTGATTATGGCCAAAAAAGAATCCTCCGTAGGAGCTAGCTTAAATGCCTCACAATAGGGCGTCTTTTTAAGGTTAGTATATATATATATATATATATATATATATATATATATATATATATATATATATATATAGAGAGAGAGAGAGAGAGAGAGAGGGAGAAATAAATGTGTAGGATTAATAAAAATAAGATTTTTCACTTACCTGATAGATTTTATATTCAGAGCCTCAATTTCGGAGTTTTGCAAACGAATATTTTTCGTAGTTGTTCGGTCCACTCTTCAGGAGATTTCAGCGATTGACTACGGATTTTCTCGTTTTTCATTATTTTTATGCTAATTTTAACGTAATTAATTCATGCGCCAATTGGGATACTATTATTGTTGTTCGGTTGATTTTGATTCCTTTTTCTGCGTGTATGTTAATGTGTGCATGTGTGTGCATGTGTGTTTGTGCGCGTTCGCGTGTTTATATATGAGTGCACATCTGTGTGTGTGTGTGTGTGTGTGTGTGTGTGTGTGTGTGCTAAATGTGATTATTTCTGCCTTTCATCATTACAGATGTATATAAATATAAGAGTGGACACTGGGGTCACCACCGAGATGCGGTCAAGCGCGAAACAGACTCTCGGCCCTCTGTGTTGACCTCAGCATCCACACTTGCATTCATTAACGAACGTTTCAGACCACTTACCTGCAGACAAGGCTATTTTCTTTTTCATGCATTGTCTTGTAACGTATACGATTGGACGATGCGACATTCCTGATGCCACCAGCTCCCATACAGGCATCCATGCAGATGACACTGCCATTTATTCTTGTCTCAATAGTAAACCCGCCACCAGCGCTGACAAAGTCAACCTGGCCCTTCAGTCAGTGGTTAAATGGAGTAGGAAATGGCTTTAAATTTTAATGCCTCCAAAACGAAACTGCTCCCATTTCGCCACCACAGAGATAATTCCCTACTCGCCATTAGTATAGCCGATACCAAACGCCAGGAGAGTGTCTCACTGCATCTTACGCTTTCGAATGACTTGAAGTGGAACAACTACATTGAATCAATAGCTGCATCTACTGCAAGGAAAGTTGACCCACTGTGTCGTGCCAGAAGTTTTTCTTGTCAGAGTCCATCTTACATATCTACAAAGCTACCATTCGTCCGCGCGTTGAGTATTTTTGTCATATCTAGTCTGGTTTTCTGGCTGTTCATCTCGAGGTTCTCGACAAAATCCAAAAAAGGATCTGCAATGTAATCGATCCTGACCTAGCATCTCGAATCCAGTCACGTTCTCGCAAACATGATGTGGCTTCCCTCCGTCTTTCTACAAATATTTTCATGGCACCTGTTCTGTCGAGCTTTTTTCCCTGGTTCTCCGTCTACATAAATTTAAACGCGTTACTAGACTAGCATCTAGATCCCACCCTTCTACCATTGAAATAGTCAAATGAAACCGCTACTTCTACTCCAGCAGTTTCTTTTCTCGCACTTCCCGCCTGTGAAACTCCCTTCCGTTTACTTGCTTCCCTGATAACTACAATTCTTAAAGATTTAAATGCAACACCAATCGCCATCTTTGTTCTTCTTGAACCCCGTTCATCTATTATCCTTTCCTCATTCCCCCTAGACACAGTTTTTTTCTCTCAACTTCACTCTATGTAACTCCACTGAGAATCAGTGGCACTCCCGCCTTGCTTGGGTTGAAATGCTTAAAAAATAGCTTTTTGTTATTGCATCGGCCATTAATCACACATGATTCATTGACAAACGATTTTGTTATTGCGAAATTGTGATAGTATTTGTGTATTGGATTAGGCTTATAATATGGGCCCCCATATCCTGACCTCCACTTACACGATGGGTTCAAATTGAAGACTGTTTTGGACGTGAAATTAGGGTAGAAATAGATTAAAGCAAAACGGTCGTGCTCACTGCTATTGTGAATTTACAAAATCTAAAGACATTTAGGGGAGAGGTGGACATCCAAGTAAAAGCAGTACTGGAGACGACTATTTGATAAAGCACACAGCCACACGATCTCCAACAAGTTCTTGTAAGAAGAAGGGTATTAGCACGTAAGTGAATGTAATGGGTTCGACGGGAATTCGAACTCGACTCTCCGATTCCTCAATCCAAGCCGCAATCCATTACTCTACCGTGCCTCTTCAAGCCAGAAGAGTTGGATTCATACCTTTCCCAAGGGTATAAGCACGTAAGTGAATGTAATGGGTTCGACTGGAATTCGAACTCGACTCTCCGATTCCTCAATCCGAGCCGCTATCCATTACTCTACCGTGCCTCTTCAAGCCAGAAGAGTTGGATTCATACCTTTCCCAAGGGTATTAGCACGTAAGTGAATGTAATGGATTCGACTGGAATTCGAACTCGGCTCTCCGATTCCTCAATCCGAGCCGCAATCCATTACTCTACCGTGCCTCTTCAAGCCAGAAGAGTTGGATTCATACCTTTCCCAAGGATATTAGCCCGTAAGTGAATGTAATGGATTCGACTGGAATTCGAACTCGGCTCTCTGATTCCTTAATCCGAGCCGCTATCCGCCGCGTCTCCCCTATTATTTGATTATACTTTTTTAAAGCTTTTCACTCCAAGCAAGGCGTGATGCCACTAGCACGCAAGGGGTTACAGAAAGTAGGAACAATAGTAAAGAGTCGTGATAGAGGAAAGGATGAAGAGAAAGGACGGGGAATTAGATCAAGGCATCTGGAGATGTCGATTGACATTACATTTGAATAGTTGGAGATTATAGCTATCAGGAAGCAAGTAATAGGAAAGGAGTTCCACAGTCGGGAAGTGCGAGACATGAAGCTATTGGAGTAGAAGAGACGGTTACATTTAACAGTTTCGACATGGGGACCGAGATGCCAACCTAGTAGCGCGTTTAAATTCATGCAGTCTGGGAACTAGTGAATGTAGCTCGTCGGAGCAGTTACCGTAAAAGTATTTGTAGAAAAGACAGAGGGAGGCGACGGCATATCTGTGAGAGGGCGACTGTAGATAAAGATGCCAGATCAGGGCCACTTACACTGCATATCCGTCTCTAGATTTTGTCGCGGACCTTAAGACAAACAGCGGGGGAAAACCAGACCATATATGGCAGCAGTATTCCATGCAAGGGTGAATGGTTGATTTATAGATTTGAAGGATGGACTCGGGCGAGAAAAAACTTTCTGGCGCGACACATAGAACCAACTTTCTTTTAATCATCAATGTAATTTTTTAATGCTGCCTGAATGTCTAACACAAAGCATTAAGAAATTTCGACAACTTTTCAAAATTTCCATTTTTAAAAAAGTTTTAGTGATGTCAACGACCACTCGTTGCCACTTTTGTAATGTCAACGAATACTCGTTGATACTTTCGTAAATGTTCGTTGTAGTAGAGACTTTGCAATCGCAGATACAACTATAGTAACGACATTGAAGACGCCTTTGAATAATCTCGCACTACTTATTCGATAAGTCTCGCTCGAAAGGTAACCACCGAATATTATAGGGAATAGTGATCCATAAAGTGATCCATATAGTGATCAGTGTAGAGAATAGTGTAGAAATAAGGAATAATATAGTCATCCGTATAGTGATCTATATAGTGATCAATATAGAGAATAGTGTAGAAATAGGGAATAGTATAGAGAATAGTAATTCGTATAGTGATCCATATAGTGATCAATATAGAGAATAGTGTAGAAACAGGAATAATATAGTCATCCGTATAGTGATCTATATAGTGATCAATATAGAGAATAGTGTAGAAATAGGGAATAGTATAGAGAATAGTAATTCGTATAGTGATCCATATAGTGATCAATATAGAGAATAGTGTAGAAACAGGGAATAATATAGTCATCCGTATAGTGATCTATATAGTGATCAATATAGAGAATAGTGTAGAAACAGGGAATAGTATAGAGTATAGCGATCCGTATAGTGATCCATATAGTGATCAATATAGAGAATAGTGTAGAAACAGGGAATAGTATAGAGAATAGTAATTCGTATAGTGATCCATATAGTGATCAATATAGAGAATAGTGTAGAAACAGGGAATAGTATAGAGTATAGCGATCCCTAGAGTGATCCATATAGTGATCAATATAGAGAATAGTGTAGAAATAGGGAATAGTATAGAGAATAGTAATTCGTATAGTGATCCATATAGTGATCAATATAGAGAATAGTGTAGAAACAGGGAATAATATAGTCATCCGTATAGTGATCCATATAGTGATCAATATAGAGAATAGTGTAGAAATAGGGAATAGTATATAGAATAGCGAACCGTATAGTGATCCATATAGTGATCAATATAGAGAATAGTGTAGAAATAGGGAATAGTATAGAGAATAGAATTTCGTATAGTGATCCATATAGTGATCAGTATAGAGAATAGTGTAGAAATAAAACACCGATGACGATGATTCTTTTAACGCAAGCAATTCTCAAATTTGCATCAAATATGTCCGAGGTAAAATGATCAGGTACCTGCGTTCGACGGGTTAATCCTATGTTCTCTTAGCACGGTGAAACATAGGAAAGCCTATGTCACATCAACTCAATTCAACAGCAAATCCACAAGGAGGATTAAGTCTGTATTGGCAATAACGAGTCTTGCGCGTCTCAATTGGCTTTAAATACGAAGTTTCTATTCATGAAGCCGTCAAAGATGTACACCTTGCGGGTGATTTATTCAGTGTAGCTTACATGTATAACAAGGTCAAATGTGTGTACGTACCGTGGGGTGCAGGTTTTCTTTTTTTTGTGAAATAAAGGTGGGAAGAGCGTATTAGTTTTCTAAGACAGTGACCCTGCCTCCGTTAGAATGAAGCATTGAAAATGCTGTTTTTTTCCCCCGAGGGTTGAGCCTTCATCTCTTGTTCCGGGTGGGGAATATGCACGATAGCCTGACAGGCAATTCATATACTAGCATAGATTATCTTGAAGTGTAGATACCAAAGGATATTTTGGTCCGGTTATACTGTTCTTTCTTTCTTTCTTTCGTTCTTTTCTGTTTGTGTATTTCAGTATATCTATCTATCTATCTATCTATCTATCTATCTATCTATCTATCTATCCGATTCTATTCTATTTCAGCATGTATATACGCTTTCCTATCTATCTATCTATCTATCTATCTATCTATCTATCTATCTATCTATCTATCCCTGCCTTTTTATATCTATCTATCTATCTATCTATCTATCTATCTATCTATCTATCTATCTATCTATCTATCTATCGAAGTAGATACATATAATTTGCCTATCTATCTATCTATCTATCTATCTATCTATCTATCTCTTTTATCCCACGCTTTCTTTTTTCCCTTTTTCTTTCTTTTTTTTACTTCACTCCCCCCCCCCCTCTCAGTCTCTGTACCAACTTAATTATTCGCCCAGCCTTTCGATTCATTACATTCACAGATGTTCAGATGAGCCTGCTACTTGAGGAACTGGCTGACCAGGTGATAACGTAGGAAGTGATTAACTCCAGTCACCTTTATCTGACACAATAATCTCTGAACGGTGTAAGACAAGAGGAGGCGAAGGAGTGTGGGGGGGGGGCGAGTGGGGCATCATTTTAATGACACCGATGCTGACGGATTACTTAACATAGAAAAAAAAAATCTCAGAGGGACACAAAACCAACTAACGGTGTTGTAGATCATGAATGCCACCTGTGGGAGGTTCGTGTCACTAAACGTATCTGCAGCCATCTCTCTATTTGGTTGACTTCTTTATCTCTCTTACTGAAAGATATAGAAAAGATCTGGCTTTCCTTCAAATCGTTCGTGTCGACAAGCCATCACTTTAGGTCAGGAGTGAGCAATTATTTTTTCGCTTCATCAGTAGGGGGATACACTTTGAGGGCCATAAATTATGGATGCCAATGCCAAGTACTAGTAATAGGTAAAGCATTGTCACATTGCCAAGCGTTAGTCGGGGGCCAATTCGAACATGATATCGACAAAGATCGTCTCGCAGATGAGTTGACTGATGGAGTGAATACGAACCACACCAGGTGTCCTACTGTTTCCCCATTCTCCAACTTTTCTATTCCAGAATGTACATATGCACTTCCTGTCAATTTATTTCTCTATGTTCAGATATTTTTCCAATGTTATCTATCTATCTATCTATCTATCTATCTATCTATCTATCTATCTATCTATCTCAGTCTGTACATCTATCTATCTATCTATCTATCTATCTATCTATCTATCTATATTCGTAACTATCTGTTTCAATCTGTTTCTATCTCTGTTCGTATCTATCTATCTATCTATCTATCTATCTATCTATCTATCTATTGGTTGCAATATCTTTTTTGTTTGGTTGTATCTTTCTCGCTCTCTCTTTCAAACAATCTATCTGTCTGTATATATATATATATATATATATATATATATATATATATATATATATATATATATATATATCACAGTCTGCTCGTATATATCTATAGCGCTCTGTTTCTATCTATCTATCTATCTATCTATTCATCTATCTATTGGTTGCAATATCTTTTTTTGTTTGTTTGTATGTCTCTCTCTCGCTCTCTATTTCAAACTATCTATCTATCTATCTATCTATCTATCTATCCATATCTATCTATCTATCTATCACAGTCTGCTCGTATGTATCTATAGCACTCTGTTTCTATCTATCTATCTATCTATCTATCTATCTATCTATCTATCTATCTATCTATCCTATTCTATTTAAGTATATAGACATAATTTTCCTATTTTATCTATCTATCTATCTATCTATCTATCTATCTATCTATCTATCTATCTATCTATCTAAACCTTCTTCATTAAACCCAGTAAGTAAAGACAATTATGAGGTCTGTTCGGACATTATTTAGCCATGTTTTTCTGAACGCAACAATCTCAAATTCTGTAAGGTACCCACTGATTGGTAGACAATTTCCAGGACCTTCCTCAGTATTATGCTTGCATCATCTAGAGAGTCGCAATCTTTCCTCGAATTATTAATTCAGTTACTCCCAAAGTGGGCGCCCCACCGACTGGTGTCGGTAGAAAGATCCAGAGTTGGGGCGGTGCGATGAAAGTGTGCAGCACATCTGAACGACTGGATACACCACACGCACGCATTGTACCTGAAGTGCATCTTGCCTTCGCTTTCCATCGTATCCGATTGATATAACAATTATTATGGGAAATACTCATTTCATATAAAATACTAACACCAAGAAAATCTAATCAAAGGTTGACTATGCATTTGGGTGAGTAGGGGCGTTAGGGTTGTCTTTTGGCGCGAAAGGAGGCGCCCCCCCCCAAATAAAAATGTTTGAGAACCGCTGATCTAATCTAATCTAATCTCTAGTATTTCTCTCAATATTGTTACCTACATCATCACAGCCATCTAGATTTAATTTCACTTCCGAGACGCTTCCAAGTGCACTTATTATGAGGGGCACGACCGTTGTCATCGGGGTCAAGACCGGATTTAGATAAACAGAGGTCCTGAGCTATTCCACTTGTGAGGACCCTTCAAAATCCTTCATTTTCACCAGTAGAGGAAAACGGAAGAGTGTTAAATTAAACTTTAATTTAACACTCTTAATTATTAAACCGTTTAAGTAAAGCCGATGATGATGAGTGTTTAAAATTAGTGAAGAGTTATTTTGATCCTACAGTGCGTTATGACAGCATGTATAAGAAAAAACAGTGTCAAAAATATTATGCACCGTTAAGGCGAGATATTGAATCACGATGCTTCAGTCTAGTAAGCCTATAGGCAAATCCGGAACTGATTTTCGGTGACCGGTTGTACTATACACAAGTAATGTTTTCTTAAAAATCATGCATTTTCGGTAGGGTTGCATTTAGATGAAGAGAGATCCTGAGCTATTCAACTTGTGAGGACCCCCCCAAACTCTCCATTCTGACGAATAGAGGAAACAGGAAGAGTGTTTAATTAAACAATTTAAGTAAAACCGAGGATGATGATGGGTGTTTACTGAAGGGTCGTTTAGAGTCTACAATGCCTTATGACAACACGTGTAAGAAAGGCGTATGAAAGGGTCAAAAATATTATACACCTTGGCTGGGGGCCCCCTAGATTTTGAGGCCCTACTGATGATAATGCTACTAAGTTAAGATGTATCACTTGTCTAAAATCATCACTGCTATTAATTTTCAAAATAATAAAACTTCATCTTCCTTTTTATTTTATTTTTTTGGAACATCTGTTTCTAAAACTTTATATCGGTCAGTTCAGTACAATATGTTATATATACTTGGACGTCATGTCTGTTTCGGTGATCGTTTGTACTATACAAACGTAATGTTTTTGAAGATCTTAAAAAACGTGCATTTTCGGCAAGGCCGCATTTTGATGAAAAGAGGCCCTAAGCTATTCCACTTGTGAGGCCCCTCCAAATCCCGCATTCTAACGCATAGAGGGAAAATGGAAGAGTGTTAAATTAAACAATTTGAGTAAAGCCAAGAATGATGACAGGTGTTTAAAATTAATGAAGAGTCTACAATACGTTATGACAGCATGTGTAAGAAAGGCCTATGACAGTGTCAAAAATATTATACACTTTGGCTGGAGGCCCCCTAAATTTTGAATCCCGAGGCTTCAGCCTGCTAAGCTTATAGGTAAATCCGGAACTGGTTTTCGGTGACCGGTTGTACTATACAAAGGTAATGTTTTTGAAGATCTTAAAAATCATGCATTTTCGGTAGGACCGCATTTAGATGAAGGACCCTCCAAAATCCAATTGTCACAAGTAGAGGAAAATTGAAGAGTGTTAAATTAAACAATTTGAGTAAAATCGAGGATGATGACGGATGTTTAAAATTACTGAAGAGTCTACAATGTGTTATGACAGCATGTGTAAAAAAGGCGTATGAAAGTGTCAAAAATTTTATCCACCTTGGCTGGAGGGCCCCATGATTTTAAATTCCGAGTCTTCAGCCTGCTAAACCTAAAGGTAAATCCGGAACTGGTTTTCGGTGATCGTTTGAACTGTACACAGGTAATTTAATATAGGGGTTCGCACTATGCAAACGTAATATTTTTGAAGATCTTAAAAATCATGCATTTTCGGCTGGGCTGCATTTAGATAAAGCGAGGTCCTAGGCTATTCCACTTGTGAGGCCCCTCCAAAATCCTTCATGTTCACAAGTAGAGGAAAAAGGGAGAGCGTTAAATTAAACAATTTGAGTAAAATTGATGATGATGACGGGTGTTTAAAATTACTGAAGAGTCTACAATACGTTATGACAGCATGTGTAAAAAAAAGGCCTATGACAGCGTCAAAAATTTATACACCTTGGCTGAAGGCCCCATACATTTTGAGGTCCTAGACATCTGCCTGCTAAGCCTATAGGTAAATCTGGCACTGCCCATGATGTAGTGTTTATTTAGTTGTGAGAAGTCCTATTTCTCTGTCTTTCTTTGTTTATCTTCAGTTTGAAGTCTGCTGGCAAGATGATTACGTGCCAGATTTAGTTTTCTTCGTACCCGTTTCTTGGGTTGTACGTTGCAGATAAAACACTGTAGTAGACACAGAAAGGAAAATACAAGAACTCCAACAAAAGGCCGTGAAGGAAAGTGAAAAGAAATGAGTAAGCATCAATTTCAAGAGAGAATGCCTGGTTGTAGCGAGAGGAAATGTATAGATTAGAGATATCAAAATCAAACAAGAACAAACATTTAAATATCTGGAAATTGTCTTAACAGAGGACAAAAAAATGCGACACCGGAATGAGAAGGCACATTGAGATAGCGAAAGATTTTTTACAAAAGCTAAGCAAAGTATTAAGAAACAGGAAAATGCCGTTAGAAACAAAGAAAAGACTACTGAATTGTTATGTCTCCATTGACAGGCAGCTCTCTACTAAGACTGAATAATGAGTTCGATCCTCACTGGTTGCCCCATATTTTCAGCCTTGTGCCACATCTAAGCTAAGTACTAAGTACTGAGCTCATTTGACAGGGAGCTCTCTACTTGTGCCAAACTTGAACAATGACCACAAGAAAAATGATTTTGATGCTCTTTGAATGAAGAGGGATCTTATACAAGACTAGAGTGTTTTTTATCAGACTGTCTCAAACCGTTCATATCTATCTATCTATCTATCTATCTATCTATCTATCTATATTCGTAACTATCTGTTTCAATCTGTTTCTACCCACTCTGTTCGTATCTATCTATCTATCTATCTATCTATCTATCTATCTATTAGTTGGAATCTCTTTTCTGTTTGTTTGTATCTCTCTCTCCCTCTCTCTTTCAATCTATCTATCTATCTATCTATCTATCTATCTATCTATCTATCTATATCTATCACAGTCTATCTTTTCTGTTTGTTTATATATCTTTCTTTCAATCTATTTCTATTTCTATTTCTATTTCCGTATATATTGCAATCTGTTCATATCTTTGTTTGTCTCTTTCTTTCTGTAAAAATGAATAGCGGGACAAGGTTTAGGAAAGATAAGAAAAAGATAAAATCTATTAAGAACTAAAATGGACAGGAAATTGTGGAGAGCCATGATCGCTAATGTCCTGAAGGGAAACGTCACATATAAGAAGAATGAGTTTGAGTAAATGGATAGCGGAACAAAGTTTAGGAGAAATAACGAAAAGATAATATTTATTAAGAACTACAAAGTACAGGAAATTGTGGAGAGCCATGATCGCCTACTTCCTGACGAGACACGTCATATAGAAGTGTGAGCTTGAGTAAATGAATGGTGGAACAACGTTTAGGAGAGATAACAAAAAGATAAACTTTATAAAGAACTACAAAGCGTAGGAAATTGTGGAGAGTCATGATCGCCAACGTCCTGAAGGGTCACGTTACACAGAAGAAGAATGAGTTTGACTAAATGGATAGCGGGGCGTGACAAGGTTTAGGAGAGATAACAAAAAAGATAATAGTTATTAAGAACTACAAAGGACAGGAAATTGTGGAGAGCCGTGATCGCCAACGTCCTGAAGGGACACGTTACACAGAATAAGACGGAGTTTCAGTAAATGGATGGCGGAACAAGGTTTAGTAGAGATAAGAAAAAGATAAACTTTATTAAGAACTACAAAGCGTAGGAAATTGTGGAGAGCCGTGATCGCTAACGTCCTGAAGGGACACATCAAATGAAGAAGAAGAAGAAGAAGAAAAAGAAGAAGAAGAAGAATATAGTCTACAGTAGGCTAGTCTTTTTCTCTTAGCTCATTTCATAAAAATATTTCTTCGGGTCAGCAATGTTGCTGACAGAATACAATGAATATTATCAATAATTTAATAGGCATTAATTGAATTCAGCCAGCTGGTAACCAGAGCGGTCATAGTATGACATTCCTTAGGGAATCATCCGTTGTACACCATACTACAGTTTTCGGGGATTCAAGAGCGAAACCACTCTTTTTAGACTCTCGAGATATGCAGCAGCAGAACCAGACAGGCTATAGCAGCAACGTTCAATGCACGGTCAAATGGTAGATTTATAAATGTTCAAGATGGATTCTAGCGAGAATAATTGTCTGCCATGACACAGAGAATCAACTTTCCTAGGAGCAGACCTAGCAACTGATTCAACAGAATCACTTCACTTCCTTTCAGTAGAAAACGTGAAATCAAGAAGGTGGAACGAGTTGTACTAATGGAGGTTAGCATCAGCCATATTGATGGAAGGCAAAAAACAAAAAAAACAAACGAAAACACGAAGTTCCCTATGATGACCAAAAGATAGTATCGTTTTGTATACGTTAAAAGTCATTGCAAATACAGGTGAATATATAACTATAAATATAAAAACCGGAAATTGCTTGCAACTTGATCTATTATATACGAGTTCCTTCATACTTGATGGTAGCTTCTAGGAGAGTAACTCGTTGTGCCTTCTTGGCCTAACGTTTTCTACTGACATTAAGAGGAGTAATTATACTGAATCAATTGATAGGTCTGCTACTAGGAAAGTTGGTTCACTGTGTCGAACCAGGCATTTTTTTTTTTCTCGTCAGAATTCATGTTGCACATTTATAAATCGACTACCATTCGACCGGCAGTTAAATATTGCTGCCATATTTGGTCTGATGCTCTTGCTATATATCTCGTGATTCTCGAAAAAAAAAAAAAAACAAACTCCAAAGGGGTTCCCTAATTTTATCGTTCCTGCCATGGCATCTCGACTTTAGTCATTTCCCCCCCCCCACACACACACACCGTGGGTTGGCTTCTCTTTGTTTTCTATATTTTCATGGCTGGTGCGCTGATGAGCTTTCCTCCTTCTTGTTTTTTATCACTCCCACCACAGACAAATTGTACATATGGGGACTAGCTTGGACTACATAGAGACTTGAGGTATTATGGTGACTGTAGTAAGAATGGTAATTAAGAATGTATTTTTTTTATTGTAAGAAATACTGTGGTATGTTTGGGTCACTAATCGTTGCTAGCTAAGTTTAAGATGAAACACATTGAAGACCAGCCTTCCACCTATCACCGCTTTTGGCCTTGTGCCACATTTTTGTATTATTCAAAATAAATATTGCTATCCTCCATGGTACCTTGATCGATGTTACGCGCAGTACTAGATTGGCAAGTAGGTCTCACTGTTTTACTATTGAAATAGCTAGATGTAACTGTGTGTTCTATTGTAACAGTTTCTTTTCTTGCTCTTCTCGCCTGTGAAACTCTCTTCCGGTTTCTTTCTTCTCTGCCATCTACAAATCTTTTAAATTTAAATGTAATGTCAATCAAAATCTTCTGTTCTAATGTATCCTGTTTGTTTTATTGTTCTTTCTCCTCCCTAAAGTCTTCTCTCTCTCTCTTTCACTTCCGGTAAGCCCTTACGTCTTAGTGGCCTTATCGCCTTGCTTGGGGTGAAATGATTAAAAAAAGATAGAAAAAAAAATAGAAAAAGAAAAAATCGCGTAAATGTAGCCGTCTCTTCTACTCTAATAGCTTCATGTCTCGCACCCCTCGCCTGTGGAACTCCCTTCCCTTCTCCTGTTTCCCTGTGAGCTATAATCTCCAGCTATTCAAGTGTAATGTCAATCGACATCTCCAGTTGCATGATCTATCCACTACCCTCATCCTTTCTTCTATCACTCCTATCTGATCTTGCTATTTCCTGTAACCCCTTGCATCCTAGTGGCTTCCCGCCTTGCTTGGGGTGAAACGCTTAAAAAAAAAAAAGTTTCAGTATTAGCGGCGACAGGAAATACGCAACTGCCTTAGCCACCAGGCAGACACCACTCCAGAAACGAATCATTTTTTGTTGTTGTTGTTGTTGTTGTTGTTTTACTTTACGCTAAATCCCTGGCATCGTGTAAAGCTTCCTCCTTGTGGACCCGGTGAGTATGTGGTTGCTTCAAAATGGCCGGAGCCCAACAAATACTGATGTCAGTTTTGGGAAAAGATTTCGTCTTGTGGCCCTCAGCTTATCGATTTCCGTTTTGTATTTACAGATTCTGTCCCCACGATTGCACAAGAATAGAAGTGACAAGTGGCGGGAGGTCATGAACGACAAACGCAAACTCATTCATTTCCCGCTGTCATTCAT